GGGGGAGGGGAAGAAGGGGGGAAGAAGGGGGAGGGGAAGAAGGGGGGCATGCTGGAGGAGCCGAGCTAGCTCAGCCCTGCTGAGAAAGAATAGGGATAGGACCAAAGATGAAGCAGCAGATGGATTTGGAGAGCATTATTTGAAATGCTAAGGAATGTGATCTTTAACCTGAGGGCAGCTGGACACTGGCGGGTGGAGGACATCTTTCAGAATAGAGGGGCCTGGGAACCAGCAGACCAAGAAGCCCACAGACGCAGAGGCTGTGCAGCCTCACCTTGCGCTCCCAGGCCCAGGGCAGGGCTCCTCAGACGCCCGAGGCCCCCTGGCTCCAGGCTGCATGCCCCACCTCTAGTTTTGGCTTTAGCCTTGGCACTGAAAAGCCTGGAGATCAAGCTGAGAGACCCCTGTTGAAGGCGGGGCTGCCTGAGGCCCAGAGAGGAAAGGGATTCTCTGTGGCTCCATGGCAACCTGGAAGCAGCCCTCCAGGCCTGGCTCCTTAGCACCAGCCTAGGGCTTTAGGGGAACACCAGGCACAAGGGGTCACACTTAGGGCGGGGCTCCCTCTTGGGAGGCCCTACAGCCTCCCCAGGCAGGCTGCCCTGCACACCTTGGGGCAGGGGCTGTGGCGTCTCTCTGGTGTCAGTGCACTGCCAGGCACGTACTTGGAGAGTCAGTAGATACCTGAAGACGCAAGAGAACACTGGGTGTCTGACAAAGTGATGTGGGTTAGATGTGTGCATCTCTGGGTAACTCCAAATATCAAAAGAAAACAAAAAAACAAAGCCCAAGAGCATATGGACAGGACCCGATATGGAACTGGGTTGGGCTGGATCCTGCTCCCCTCTTTGCTGCTGCTCTGCGGCAGGAGTATGAGCACTTCGTTGGTCTCTAGGCTGCAGGGAGGAGTTTGCACAAAAAAGCTTCTGCTGAGCACGCACTGCTCTAGGGCAGCCACTGTCCAGCTGCTTCTGCGCTAACTTGAGGCTTACTGGCCCCCTGGCCTCCTCGGGTCCCCTGGCTCAGGGACAGGCTGGCTGCAGGGGTGAGGAGGGAATCTCCCAGAGTCCTCTGAGGACTTCGCTTCTTGAGTCACCGTGACAGATGCGACTCAAGGCATTTCTGGGCCAGAAGAGACGTGTAGAGAGCCCCTGGCATACACGTTGGCACCCTCCTTGGAACCCGGGGCCTCAGCTCTGCCAGGCCTGTGCAGTGACCCAAAGTGGCACCCGGGACGTGTGCAGACAGCTGGGGGTCACTCTGGGATGCAATTCCGTCTTGGCCCTTCAGTGGGGCAGGATCTTCCCAGAACAGCTTGGACCTGCGGTGGCCTGGCTCAGTAAGTGCCTCAGTGCAAAAAAGCAAGTTTAATGATTGACCAATCACCACACAGTGAACACCCGCTGTGTGCTAGACTTGGGGCTGGGGGCGTCAGGGCCCTCTCCTCATGTGGCCCTGGGTAAATTCCACCACTTAGAAGCATGTCATCCCGTCACAGTCAGAAGCGCCTTCGAGTCATGAACTAGTGTCTCCACATAGCTGGGGAAACTGAGGCAGAGCGCGCGCACCAGAGCAACATGTTCAAGGCTGTGCAATTCAAGAAAAGTACAGTTTCCTCTTTTTATTTTCTGCAGTACTGGAGATTGAATACAGTTGCTCACACATAGTGGCGAAGGTGCAATCTTTAAGTGTCAATTAGAAATTTTAAAAGACTGCACAAGGAGCAAATGTATTTTCTGTTTGCAAACCAGAAGTGTCCCAGCCCTGACCAGGAGGGGGCTACGCTCACAATCCTAGCACATGGCTGGGCATGTTGGCACAGGTCTGAAATCCCAGCTAAGCAAGAGGCTGAGGCAGGAGGATCACAAGTTAGGACCCTGTCTCAAAAGAAGATAAAAATGGGGTGGGGGCAGAGATGGGGATCCCAGAGCACTTGCACTCGGCTTACGGACTAAACCTACAAATACTCAGTGTTCTCAGAGGTCTTCACTTTAGTTCTTGCTGAAATTTTAAATCCTCAATAGCCCAGCATTGTGGTGCAGGCCTGTAACCCCAACACTGGGGAGGCCGAGGCAAGAAGATCACAGTGTCTGAGACCAGCCTGGGCTACACAGTGAGCCCGTCTCAAAAACAAAAATACAACAAAATTCAACATCCAGGGCAGGAGCAGGGTGGTTCCCCGCAGAGGCCTCTCCCAGGGCTGGTGGTGTCTGAGCTGCCTCACCGCCCAGGCTCTGCCGTCCCTGTCCCCTGGGGTTGGGGCGGGAGTGGTGGCAGGGCGGACCTGTCGCTCCCGAGTAGGTCCCAGCCAGTCTACGATTGGCTGGAGGGACCCAGCCTGGCTACCAATTGGCCGGCGCCAGGCTTGAAAGGCGGCAGTGCCCCGGTGCCCCAGACAGCTGCGTGGAGCAGCGAGACGGCGCGGCAGCGTGGAGCAGCCATGGCCCGGCTGCTGCGGGCGTCCTGCCTCCTGTCCCTGCTCCTGGCCGGCCTCGTCCCTCCCAGCTGGGGCCAGGAGAGGTCGAAGGTAAGTGGGTCTACAGGGAGAGGGCCACCCTTCTTCAGCCCATCCCGGGGGTCACAGCACTCCCCCCCACCCCAGGCTTCTCAACAGGTCCCGCTGGGCTGAACTCCAACCCCAGCTCCCTCCCCAGCTGGGCAGGGGTCACCATCCTCCTCCATGTGGTGTTGGAACCCACTGTCCCCACCCCTGGTCTGGGGGAGTCCTCAGGACAAAGCTGGTGACCTAGCCTCTGGGCGGGACTGGTGCAGCTGAGCAGAGGGCTGGGGTTCAAGACTTGCTTGGAGCCAAGAACTGCTGACGAAGGGAGAAATGAGGCCCAGGGATTGGTGACTGGCAGAGATCTGCGGCAGGAAAGCTTGGGACTGGAAACGCAGAAAATGCAGAACGTCTGGATTCCAAGTCCTTCCCCTTTCTGGGCCTCAGTTTCTCCATCTGCAGGATGGGGTGGGGTGGCAGGGTCACAGTGAAGGTGTTCCTGGAAGGGTTTCCTAGGCTGCAGCCTAGTCGCCACCCACACTGAAAGGGCAAACCTGCTCCCTGAGAAGAGGGGTGGGAAGGATTCTCCTGGGCCTCCAGCGCGCCCCTGCGCCCGCAGTGTGACCCTAGGCTGGGTGGTGCAGCCCACTTATCTCCTTGCTTAGCAGGAACCAGGGTGGGTCAGTAGGGACAGATCTGGAGATCTATATCTCCAAAACCCCAGCCCCCCACACGACAGTGGCCAGCTGGGGGGCGTGTGTACAACTAACCCAGACCTCGGGGCGGAGGCAGGATTTGCAGAGCGCATCTGAGGCCAGCGCAGGCTATCCAGTGAGCTCAAGGCTAGTTTCAGCTACAACGTGACACCACCTCTGCAACAAAAACCAAAAAAGTCTCCTGCAGACTTGGACTCTAGAATTCTGTTCTCAGCCCAAGTCCCCTGGGTCTCCTGCGACCTAGAGCCGGATTCAGTGACTGGATGGCCACACTCTCCCTTCTACCCAGGCTTGTTCAGAATCTGAGGCTCCGAGGTTTCTCTGGGGCGGGGATGGGACTGAATCTCACACTAGGCAGAGATGGAGGACTGGGCTAGAGTCAGTCCTGTCCCCTCAGCCTGGGGACAGCACAGAGAAAAGACCCGGCCCCGTCCAAGCAGGACAGAGGCAGATGTGGGCCTGTAAGTAACCCATCATAGCCACGATTTCTGCAGAACTCTGAAAGGCTGCACAGACTGAGAACTGACAGTGAGGGCGAGAGCTCAATGGCTGGTGGCGGCTGGACATGTCCACTCTGTACCCAGATCCTGGGATCTGACACGCCACTGCTCCAGCATCTAGGACCAAAGCAGGACTCGGGTGTGGGGAGGGCCTTGCTCTAGGTCTCGAGAGAGGCTTTTCTTCTGCCCACTTGTAGCAGGTAGAACCAAGGGACCCCTTTTCCTTGCTGTAACCCCTCCCCCAGTCCAGTTCCGTGCCCCTGCTCTACAAAGTACCTCAGAAGCTGGAGGGCATAAGGGCTGTCCATGTGCTAACCGCTGGTTTCTAGGTGACTGAACTAGGCAGAGAGGATCATGGGACCACAGGCTGACAGGCTCTTAAGACAGAAGGACTGATTCCAGCCTACAGTGGGAGCTGGAGGCCCAAGGACCAGTGGCTGCTGACTCAGAGGCTGGGCCCGGGGTCTCCTGCCTCCTCCATCCAGCATACCTCTCATAGATCACACCGAGGGAGGGGGAGGATGGGTAGAGAAGCATACAAGCCAGCAGCCCTGGCCAGCCAGGGGCTGGGCGTCCCCCTGCTCTCAGGCCCTCATACTCCATCCCTCCAGTCCTCTGTCTTCCCTTGCCACCCTGTTCAAGGCACACAGTGAAGGGTTCCATGGACCCAGGGGACAGGGAAGGGCCGCCTCCCACAGCCCGAGCTGTGGCACCCAGTATGACCACAGCTGGTGGCTCTCCTAGGACACCCACTGGACCAGGCAGGCAGTGTGGAGAATTTGCCACTTATTCTTCTTCCTGGATACCACTGGCCAGTGTGTCGTACTGGCTGGTGACATCCACAGCCTCTCCCCACCCCCTGTAGGAATGTCAGGGCCCTGAACCTTAGCCACAGGCAGAGCAATCCCTAACAGTGGCCGCCTGTTCCTTCCAAGAGGATTTCAAGCCTGTTGTGATTCTTGCAATCCTTTTGAGAGCCACAAGGGATTATCCTTAGCAAGGCCCAGAGAATGACAGTGACTTCCTGAGGCTATACCACAAGCGAAGACCAGGCCCTAAAGCCAGTGCCTCCCACCTCATCTTCCTGTTGTTTTTGAGCTCAATTATTTATACAGCCTCCTGGATTTTCTCCTCTGGGTCTCCCAGAGATGGCGCTCGAGTCAAGATAAGAGTTTTTGGAGGCCCGACACTGTGGCAGGCAGAGCCAGGGCCAGCCAGGCCGCTGTGTGCTCTGCATCGTTCGCACTGTTGGTTGCAGTGACCCCACCTCGGCCTTGGGAACCTCAGGGTGGATGGAACGTGGTGTTTGGACCTTGGTCCCCCTCACTGGCCACGTCCTGTTGGCCACTGTCACCCAGCCAGACACGAGAACCTGGCCTCAGTGGCAGGTTTACCAAAACCACAGGGAAGAGAGGGAGTAGACTGGCACTTCTACCGGGCTGCCTCTGCCTTCCCAGTACCTCTCGGAAGAAGGTCCTAGACGACCTTAGAAATGAGCTAAGCTGGGGCCTCCAGCTTTTCCTTTGGCCACACCCTGCTCCCCTGTGGATCAGGTCCTGGTTCAGGGACACCGTCTCTAGGGTAGACCTGGGGTTGTGGCATCTGATTTAGGGTGAGGTAGGGGAGTGAGCAAAGGGGCTGCCTGCGTCCCAGGTAGTGTCCCATAAGCTCAAGGTGACACCATCCCTCTCCCCCACTGGCTCGCTTTCCAGGCTTTGGAGTGAGTGGCTGGCCTGGCTCCAGGAGACACAGGGCCAGGCCAGGGCCACAGAGTCAGTGGCAGAGTGGGGTTTCTCCCTCCTTAGCCTGGAGGTTGACTTGGAGCAAGATCCAGGCAGAGAAAATGTTCCAGTCACCATCCCAGCCAGCCGCTGGCCTGGAACACCTGCTACGAGCCAGGTGTGGCTGTTCCTCACCACCAGCGAGCTCACCGCCTCCCTCTCTCCAGTCTTCCACCTGTGGCACCTCTGGGTCCCCATGCCCACCCAAGGCTGCCTCCTCCACTCTGCTTCTCAGGCCTTCTCGTGACTTGCCTGGACTCTCCATAATCCCCTAGCCCATCCGTAGCCCCAGTGCAGTCCCTGCAGCCTGATGAACGAACATCCTTGGGTTGGCCTGATGAGAACGGTCATGAAGCCATTTCCAGGGCCCGTGGCACTCACTTCTCATGTGCTTATGAGTGCAGTATCAAGGGTCACATCCTACTGGACAACTGGATGCCCTCATAATCCCTTCAGACAGGGAACGAGGGACCCTGGTGTGGTCCAGTGCCAGGTTTCAGTCCTGCTGGGCTCTCACGTGGAGCAGTGCCCGTTCCTGCCGACGCTAACATCCTGGCGCCGGTCTTTCCCCTTCCAGACAGACTGCCACAACGGCATGAGCGGCACCATCTATGAGTATGGGGCCCTCACCATCGACGGCGAGGAGTATATCCCCTTTAAGAAGTACACTGGCAAGTACATCCTTTTCGTCAATGTGGCCAGCTACTGAGGCCTGACTGACCAGTACCTTGGTAAGAGCCCACCTCCCACAACTGCTTTAGTCAGGGCTATGTTACTGGGACACAAATCACAGGAACTTCTCTGGTGTCAAAAAGGAGGGGCGGGTGAGCTTCAAGTCTCAGCTCCATCACGCGTGCGTGTGTATGCATGCGCGTGCACGCATGCATGTGTGTGCATCCTTCTGGGGATGGGACCCAGGGCATTCTCACTGAGCGACATCCCAGCCCTTTTTGAGCTGGTCTTGTTAAGTCATTAAGTTTCCCAGGTTGGGCTCAAACTTTGAGTCCTCCTGCTTCAGCCTCCCAAAGTGCTGGGGTCACAGGTGTCACCATGCCAGGCTCGAGTGGCACATTTTTCTGGAGATAACTCTGTAAGTCTGAGGTGTGGGTGCCTTTGGACACATTCCAGAGCCCTAGTTATTCTTCATCTGTGGCTACCTTAAAGCACAGGGATGGAAGCGATGGGCTTGGCCCCACAACCCTGTCCTTTCCTCCTCCCCCTGTGACTGCAGTGAGAAATGGCAGCTGTGGCTCAGCTGCCTGAGAAGGTCTCCCTGGACCTCAGCGCGCTCCACTGGGGACTCTCTTGGCCCTAGTGGAAAGCAAGTATGGGTACATGGGAAAGGTGAGGTCTGAGCTAACCCAGAAAGGTGACTTCCATATTGCACCCCTGTCCTCAGTACACAGGCAGTGAATGGCCGCACAACCCAGCCCTCCCGCCTCAGCAGGGCAGTCCAGCTTTGGGGAGGCCAGGACATGTGACGTGCTGCTGTGCCTGGCCCACAGGGCAGTCGATACACTGGAAGGCCTGAGGGCTGCTCCCCCTGTGTGCACCGCTGTCTGGAACACATCTGTCCAGGCGGAGGTGGCCGGGTGCTGCATTACACAAAGCCGCGGAGCCGGGTGGGGGTGGGGGGCGGTGAGGCACTGGGGAGGGTCCTAGAGGAAAGAGGGCGTGGGGCCTGGCTGTAGCGCGAGGGAACCACCCGCCTTTGCCCAGGAAGAAACGGTACCTGCAGATCCCCAGGGCTCGCTCTAGACCCTGAGGCAAGGGTGGGCTGGCCACTGCGGGTCTCGGAAAGGGTTTTTCACTTTTCACAGTCCCTGCCCAGCTTTGCAGTAACTCACTGACCTTGGGCAAGCCATGCCCTCCCAGGCCTTGGTGGCTGCTGCTGGGCCAGGGTGCGGGTGGGCAGGCGCCTCACCAGGCCACCGCCTCTGCTCTCCCCACCCCAGAACTGAATGCACTACAGGAAGAACTCGAGCCATTCGGCCTAGTTGTTTTGGGCTTCCCCTGCAACCAATTCGGAAAACAGGAGCCGGGAGAGAACTCGGAGATCCTCCCCAGCCTCAAGTGAGTGCTCAAGGCCTGGGCCGCCAAGTGCGGAGTGTGTACATGTGTGCATGCGCGTGCGTGGTCCCGCCCATGGTGCTCTCCCACAAGGTGCCCCTTCCCTGCAAAGAGGGCGCATGGCCGGACAGCACATGACAGCAGAACAGAGGACTGCGCTGTGTGGCCAGGGTACTGCGAAGGGAGCAAGCGGACCTCAATCTGCTCATGTCCATTCGACAGTCTTCGGCTCCGCTGCCTAGCCCGACAGGGCTGTCCTGAGCCCTCTCCTCGTTCTGTGCCTGTGCCCACAACCCATCCTCCGTTCCTTTCCTTGCAGGTACGTCAGGCCAGGTGGGGGCTTTGTTCCTAACTTCCAGCTCTTCGAGAAAGGCGACGTAAATGGGGAAAAAGAGCAGAAGTTCTACACGTTCCTGAAGGTGAGCGAACAGCGCCCCTGCTGGCCACCGCGCCTGTCGCAAAGAAGCACCCCCCCCCCCACTTCCCCCAGCGGCAGCGGGCGGCGGACCTTCCTAGTCGTTGCCCGTTGCCCGCAAGGCTGCTCTGACCAGGAAAGGCAGAGAGGTGGCAGGGGACACCAGGCTAAACAGATGCCATACTCCTCTCCCTGCTCAGAACTCCTGTCCTCCCACCTCCGAGCTTGTGGGCTCCCCTGGCCGCCTCTTCTGGGAACCCATGAAGGTCCACGACATCCGCTGGAACTTCGAGAAGTTCCTGGTGGGGCCAGATGGCAGGCCCATCATGCGCTGGTACCACCGGACCACGGTCAGCAACGTGAAGATAGACATCCTGGCTCATATGCGACAGCGGGCGGCTCTACGGGAGGCAGCTCTGCTGGCCCGGGGGAAGTAACCGCTGCCCACTCCCGCCCACCCGCTACCCCTTACCCCTGCTCCTCACGCCAGCCCTAGCCCGCCAGAAATGTGTAGGCAGCTGCTAGCATCCTTCGCTCCTAATATTACACAGCCACGCAGATCTGAGAGCCTGCGCCCCTGTGCCACTCAACGCGGAAATTCTTCTCATGTCCCCATGACAATTTGCTTTTGTGAGAGCCCAAAGTGCCAGGTCCGATTACCCTGCTCTAACCTGCACCTCAAGGTGGGCTCCTGCGGCCTGAAGGGCTCCAGTTCCATCCCTACCCAGCCCAGCCCAGAGCCAGGGCCAAGCGTCTCCATGAGGGAGGGGCCCAAAGCCTGTGGGCGGACCCCCCCTGAGCCTGCCCGCGGCCCAGCCCTTAGTGCATTCAGGCTGAGCCCGAGCAGGGACGCTACCCCCTTGCCTGTTACCAGCAACCTCACACTCATCTGCCCAGTAAAGGTCTCTGCAGCAACCCAGCTCAGCAGTGCTTCTTTAGCAGCGGTGCCAGCGCTTGGGGAGGACTGGGGGTGGCAGGGTTCTGTACCCCTGCAGCCAGGCAATGGATGTGCCTGCCTGCCTGGGTCACATGTGAAATGTAGCAAAACCTCTATAGGGATGCCTTTCAATGACCTAGGAGCTGGAAGGCCGCTCCGTTTCATGCTCCAGAGGTGGCAGTTCCCCCAGCCCAGCAGCCTTGCAGTGAGCCACGTCTCAGCCTCCTCAAAGAGTTGGGGGAGGTGTGGTGTGGGGCCAGAGCGAAACACTAATCACGAAACACTGATTTTTAACTCCGATTTATGTCCAAAATTTGTGCAAATCAGTGTGTTGGGACAGCCAGCCAGCCCCATGGTCTGCGGGCATCACAACACTTCCGCTGTGCGTGTCAGGGTCCCTCCACAGATGTGGCTGCAGCAGCCTTCACTGTGACACGCTGCTGGGTGGAGGTGTACAGCCCCTGCTGTGGCCTCCTCCTTCCATCCTCTGGCTCTGGAGGCAGCGGCCCTCCTCAGCTCTTCAGAGGGATATGGATGGGCCTGGGGCAGGCCTGCTATAGCACTTGAGGCAAAAGTCAAACATACACACAGACTGTGGACTTGGCACCTGCAGCAAGGACCACTTCCATGGAGGTTTTAAAAGGGCCTGGCTGGACCCTGCTCTGAAGATGCACACCCTGTGGCTCCAGGGCAGGTTGGGGCTAGCCAGCCTTTCCACGAGGCAGTGAGAGGCAGGGCAGTGAGCTCCTGGTGTACCCCAATGGTGAGGTGCTCACCCACGGAGGCTCTGGCCACCCAAGTGCTCAGCCTCTAGTTTCTTGGTAATCTGAGGTCAAGCAGCTCTGCAAGATGAAGGTGGAGCCAAATGACACAATCTGGTCTCACTGTGGCCCCTCGCAGTCAGTTTTTGCAGACTCTAAATATTAAACAAAAATTTTGAGGACTTAAAAATTATCTGGTAAAGTTAGTTTTAAAGTCTTATATGGAAGCCAATTCACTATCAGTGAAGGTAACAGTGAGTTCCGGGGTACATGGAGTGCCAGGCTGTGCCCTGGGACACTCACCCTGGAGCCTCACCCAGCACTGCAGCAGGCCCAGCGCTAGCCCTTTACAGAGGTAGCTGGGTGGGATTCGTACCCAGTCGGTCTGGCTCTCGATCCCAGAAGCGGCAGTTCTGGGGGAGACACCAGCCCTGCCCACCAGGGTGCCCACTGCCACTCGTCCAAGCAGCCCTTGAAGGCTCCAGCCCGGCTGGCCAACCCCTTCTCCAGGCACCAGATCCTCCTGTTCTCTAGTCTCTGTTCACACGCTCCTGACCAAGCCCACTCCATGGCTGCATGAATGATGCTTTTCTAGAAAGTTTCTTTTCATGCTGAGATGAACTTGGCCTTCCTACCACTTAAACATACAAGGGATTACACTCCCAGAGTCCCATGGGTGAAGTGGTGCCTCCTGCCCCACGAGTCCCAATGAGAGCAAGGGCAGCCACTAGAGCCCAGAGTAAATGTGGCTCCAGTCCCGTGGACTTTACTGGTGGACACGACAACCAGATGCTGTGGACACAGACCAGTCTGACCACAGCCAAGGCCCTGCCCATGCCCCCTGCCTCGCCCTGCTCTTTCTATATCTTTTCCTCAGCTGCCATGCTGGCTGTGCCTCAGATCCTGAAGCTGGCCACCTATCTACCTGCCGTCCTACCTTCCTTCTTTCACTCCTACAAAGTGATAGGTTCTGGATCTTCAGGTCTCCCCAAGGCCCGTATGACACAGAAACAGCAGCCAGCCTGTGGCTCCCAAAAGTGATGGCTTTCTAGAGGCAGGGCCCAATGCAAGGGTCTCTGGTAACGGTGGGAGCCCAGCGCCTTCCTTTTCTTTTTCTTGGTTCCCGAGAGCCGAGACCTCTGCCAGACCCTCCCCCAATGACAGTACTGCTGGGCCCAAAGTGACAGGGTAAGTGACCCTGGAAACTGTAAGCCTGCATGTTGATCACCTCAAGTATTCTGTCCCAACTGTTTCTGAAAATGGGATCACTGCTGTGACTGTTCCCAATGATGTGGTTTATAAACCTTTGGGATTGTTTTGTGGGAGGAACCTGGCAAAGTCTGGAGAATGGCCTGGAAAAGACCTTGAGTGCTGTGAGAGGCGAATGGGATGTTCGCAGAGGACCAGTGTGGTGGTGAGAGCGTGGGCAGTGAGGGCTGCTCGCGAGGCCTCAGGTGGCAATGACACTGCTAGAGACTGCACTACGGGTTCCTCATGCTCCACTCTGGAAGAGAACCTGTCTACACTCGTCTGCTCTCCAAGACACACAGGAGCAAAGCCTAGAGGCGATGGGCAAATTATCTGTGGGAGGGATTTCACGGCAGCACAGACGCCAGCACTGGCCTGGGTGCTGACGGCCACTTTCAGGCAGATGTACTGTGAGAATAGGGAGCACAAAAGCGAATCAGAAAGATCAAACCTGCGGCTGGCCTAGAAAAGCAGCAGGCTCCTGCTGAAGGTGAAGATGAGTGCCACTGCAGGGGGACGGCAGTAACTGTCCCAAGGTCACCTCGGAAACTGTGGGTCCACGCCACTGCAGGGGGACGGCAGTAACTGCCCCAGGG